ACCCCCCCCCCCCCCCCCCCCCCGCGCACCCCCGCGCGCACCCCCCTTCTCCGATCGAAAACTAACAGTCCGCGACGGAGGACGCATCTCCTTCTCCCTTTGACCGTCGGTCCCTCGTGAACCGCGTCGCGGCGGGCCTGTTGGGCACGGCCGCGGTAGTCACCACCGCTGCCGGCACTGGCGAGGAGCTACGGTTGCTGACGGGCGTGGATACGGCCGCGTCTGCCTCGGAGCCGGGCACCAAACAGAGCCCGATCGCCGTCGTCGGGGCGGGAGGCAAGTGGCTTGTGACGAAAAACAAACGGACGTAAGAGGCTGGATTTGGGGTGTAGGTGCCGTATGTACCCAGAATAGGCGTCGTTGCTGTGGGTGACAGGTACGCATAGGAAGCGTGACGCCCATGCGTACGCACATGAGCAGGCGGGCAGAGACTGCTGTCCTTGCACGTCGCGTCCGAGGAGCACCGCTGTAGCCCACGAGAGACCCGCTCACGCACACATGGTGTGACTCTTGCGCACGCCGCCGCCTGTTGTCGTTAGGCAGAGGCACACCCTTGTTTTGGAGAAACTACTGTTGTCCCTCTCTCTCTCTCTCTCTCTCTCGCTTCTCTTCTCTTGGTTGGCCCTTCCTCTTGCCTCGATCTCGATAGAGAGAGAGAGAACAATTCTTCCCTCGATGGCGGGGCCTAAACTTGTCGTGACACGTTTCGGCACTTCGACCGGCGCCGTCTGAAATCGTGGTCCAATCCAGATCTTTGATTGGCTCCTCTGATGGTGGAAGGTGTAGAACAATCGGCGTGGTAATTGCTGTACGGCAACCTGATAAAGCCAGAACGATACTCGGCTCTCATGCCCGTGATCGTTTTCTCCCACTGTCTTCGGCCTGTTTCTATTTAGTCCAGATCCAGAACCGTCCAATCACTGAAAAAAAGCATTAGCAACCCAGGGAAACAATCCTCCTCAGATCAAGGCAGGGAAGCAAAGATTCGCCCCGAGCTTTCCCGGTGTCCCCCTCAGCACCCCGAACGACGGACAACCAGTGACCCGTCCCGAAAGGGGGCCACGCGTGGTCAACGGCCCAACAGCGTTAAGGGCAAGCAACCGATAGACCCCCCGCGCGCGCCTTCCTCGAAACTTCTTGTTTTGTTCGTGTCCGTCCAGGCAAGACGGGCAAGCTGGCCGTTGAGGGCCTCTTGAAGCGCGGCAGGAACGTGCGGGCGGTCACAAGGACCGGCGAGTTCTCTCTCGGCGGCGGAGATGTAGGAGACCTGATGACCACCGCCGCGGGTGACGTGACCAAGACGGACACCCTCAAGCAGGCGCTTGCGGGCTGCGGGGCGGTGCTCTTCTGCGCTAGTGCCAGCAAGGTGTGTGTGCTGTGGTGATCGATGGCGAGCCTGCCTGCCTGCCTTGGCCTGCGCTGTTCTGTCGATATTTAGCAAGTATCACCGGGTGTGTGCGGTATGTGCGTTGCGACATTTTGTGTGTTCATGCAGCGGCGGTGGATGTGGTGCATGTGTTGTTGAGAGAGGGAGGAGGGCAGGGGGGGGGCGGTGAGGGTGGGACGGTTTGCAGTAGAACACATTTGTGCAGCATACCATGGAAGAACAGACGTGTTATGAGGGTGTGATACACGAAAGCAAGGGAGTCTTCTCTTATTTTTGAAACGTTCTTGGAATGCTCGTGGAACACGCTTGACAAGTCTAACACGCGTAATAATGTTTTCATCCGCCATCAGAACACATATACGCGTACATAGCACGTTGGCATAAGTCTCTTGAGCATGGTGGTGAAAAAGGAAGCCTGTATCCCAAATGCTTGCTGCAGAACCCCACGTGATAGACTTACAAACAGTTGCAGTGGGCTACCTATCAACTCTAAGTAAACAACCGTCCAATGCGTGGCTCATTTTGTTCCGTTTGCGTACAAACTTCGTACCCCCACCCGGCCTTTGGTTGAGTAGGAAGAGAATAGTGAAGTTTCACAAATGTTGGGGCTAGCAGAGTAGCGCTACGAAACCTCGACACGGCATGGGATCATCCAACGTCGAAATGATACAGGTTACGGTTGATTCTCTGTCACCGCCTTTGTGCCGGTAGCGGTGAAGATGATGCGTAGGTCTTGACACCTTTCAACCAGCCCGTGACTGTGGGACAGTTGTGTGATGTTGTGTGTTACTGGAACTACTGCCGTCGGCGGTGCTACACCGGCTGGCTGTTTAAAACGTCAAGGACCCTGCAGAAGGGCACGCCCGAGCGCGCTTCCTTTTCCGGCGGCTCCCTCGACAGGGGGTCCCGCGAGGGAGATTGGAGATGGGGGGGGGGCAGCCTCCGGATTGAGAGAACTTGTGGGGGGAGAAAACACGACACTAAGGGCCTGTTTTAACGTTCAAAGTTGCACCTAAACTGAGCACCGAATTTGGATGGACCCAACTGGGTTTTTGGCCGAAAAGGGCTTGCTCCGTTTTAACGTCTTTTTCCACACCCAAATACCAATCGAGGTGCTGCAACACCCAAATGCGGTGGAATCGCTGCCGCGAGGTGACGTGGTGACCAAATAGGTAGAGCGATAGACCATGTGCACAACACGGGAGCTGTAAAAATGTATCACCGCACACCTAAGTATGCATAGCAGCAGGCGGTGCCAGTGGTCCAAGCCTCATCCCCTGGCTTGCTCTACAACTGTTGTTTGGACTGTCGCTGCACGCAACCGGCCGTTGACCTGTCATCGCACACTTTGGGAAGCAACCTCCACCGCAACCCAACCAGCGCGAAAAGTTGACACGCTCACTGAACCATTACGATACAGCTATTTCCCGGCAGCGGGTAGCAGGCGATGCGTGTGGGTGCCGCACGGCCAGGAGGCCACATGCGGGCCAGTTAGAGGTAACGCCAACACGAGTTCAGCTCATCATGGCGGTGCAAAAGGGGCGCAGGCCAACTCGGTTGCTTCGATTCAGCAAAAAACACTCAAATTTGTGATAGATTTTTGCTGCACACAATACCAAAGTCCTGCTTTTCCTGGCAGCAAGAGCGCCATCGTGTTTTTCTTTTTGTGACCAATCAGCCTCTTTGGCCCTCGGTACCCCCCCCAAACTTGGTTTTTGCAGGGTCTCTATTTAGGTGACAAAGTTTCACGTTAAAACAGGCCCCAACTAACACGGTATTTTGCATTCCTCCTGCGGTGCCGGCTCCTGTGGTAGCACCACTCCCCTTTCCAGCTGATAGTGATATGCCTCTGTCCGACTCCTCTCTACACCCGTGGGGCTCGTGACTAAATAGCTGTGCTTGGTTTGTGTCCCCCCACCGCCGTCACCCCCCACGTGGGCGAGCAGAAGGGCGGAAACGCCGAAGCCGTGGACTATCAGGGAGTGCTGAACGCGGCGCAGGCGTGCGTTGAGCTGGGGATTCCGCGGCTCGTGGTCATCTCCAGGTACAACATATCCGCGAAAGATACAAGGGAGATATAGCGACGAAAGTTGTGTGGTCAAGATTTGTTTCGCGTTGTTCGCATGTTTCATGCGTTAGCATCGGCCGTGCTACCTCCGGAAGGTCAATGAAATTGCGTCAGTGTTCAATGGAGAAAACGCGTTTTTTTCAAGGGGGGGGGGGGGGAGAGGGGCGGTTAGCTGACATCGAGGAACCAACCTGCGGAACGATTAATAGACGCCGGTCTTTTTAGCCGCACCCGCATGGATACACGCGTAAGACAAAACGTCGTGTAGAACTTCGCACGGTTTGGATGAAAACTTGTTTGAACGCAATTTCCGGTCCATCTTCCCCTCTAGTCAATGAGTACCTGCACAACAGGTTTTGAGCGGTTCGTTTAGCGTGGACTCGGCACCAAACCTTGTCGTGGCGTTGTCGACGCCTCACGGAAGGCTCGCGAACGCAAGCCTCGCTGCTTGGCGTGAGGCGATCTGTCAAGAGTCCGCCTGTTGTTTGTGGTTTGTGTGGAGATGACTTCATGAACCAGAGGGGCAATGTGGATTTTTTTTTCTAGTTGACGAAAGGGTTCCGCAACCATGCATAGCGTACAAGCAGTCCCCCTCTAAACATTCACCCGTGCTTTGGTTCGTCATGTTTGGCGATTTTTTTGTTTGTTTCTTGTCTTGCGGGGGACACAAATCTTCGCAGCGGAGCGGTGACCAAACCGGACAGCTTGGGGTTCAAGGTTACCAACGTCTTCGGAAGTGAGTGGCGTGGCGTGCTTTGTTTTCCGTCCTGTGTTTCTTTTCGCTGCCTCTGTTCTCGCTTTGGCGATATTTGACAGACGGGTGTTTGGTTCAAGGTGCGCACCAGGGTAAAGGCCTTGCATGCCGGAAGAACATTTCTGAGTTTGGTATATAGGGGCGATGGGAATGGTGCATTGTATTGTTACTGACCGTCCCTGTTTTTTTTTGTTGTTGCGGGGATGAAAATTGTCCAGTCGTGTGCGTTTTTCGTGCGCACGTGTGTCCAAGCCTGTTTTGCCGTGAAAAACGTCAACTGGACTCCGGTTCTTAGTCGGGAGAAAGGCTTGTCGACCTACCGTAGTGAACGTGTCTGTGTTTGCTTTTCGGGTGTGTTTACTTCTGTGCGTTGGTTGCCAAGTTCGGTACCCGTTGAAAACGCGAACGGTCACCCATTCTGCCTGCACCGTTGGTCGAGCCTAGCATGCTGCTCCCCCTGCGTGCTGTCGCCCTTCTTTCGCCAGACATCATGACCCTCAAGAGGAAAGGCGAGATCGGCCTCGAGGAGATCTACGCGGCCGCTCCCAAGGGCTTGACGTACACAATCGTGCGCCCGGGGGGTCTCACGGACGGAGCTGTCATTGGCCCTGCAGGTGGGGGGCGCGATGCAACAGGGGGGGGGAACTTGCACGGTCGAAGCCGCGCTTTTTTACGCGCTATGTGGTTGGGTGATGACGTTGTCGTTGTATTTGGTGGTTGTCGCTGTTGCTGTCGTCGATTTTCCGTCCGTCGTACCCTTGCCTTTAAGCTCTACGGAGAGGTGCTTGAGACACGGGAGACAAAAATGAGAACAAGAGAGGGGGGGAGGGGGAGGGGGAGAGAGAGAAATGGAGGCGAGAGAGGTTATGTTGAACCGAAAGAAGAGTAACTAGGTCGTGTTTCGTGGTGTGTGCTAGGCAGCAGCGAACAAGCGAGCCAGCACGCGAGATACCGTCGACCTCTGTGCACGCATACACACACCAAGTTTTATGCGGTTACAAAAACAGGTTGTGCCCTAGAGTTGTTGACTTCGGCGTTGGTGAAGGCCGCTGTTTGCTGCTGAGCCCGAATCACGCCAGCCGCCACTTCTGCGCATGGTTGCAATGGGATGGTTTCAAACCACCAGCGGCGTCGATATTTTGCTGTTCGCATGTGTTTCGTCGCCTCCTAGGTTCAGTTGTCCCCGGCGTCGAGCAACACAACGGTGGTGGTATAGGACTGCTGCTGTTGTTGTAAAGAAGCAGTTTCACACGCGCGTAGGAAGCATTGCTGTTCTGTCCGTGCTCGCACAACTAAGTACTGTGGCTGTGCGAACGTCTGCCGTCGACGCAGGCATCGAGCTGAACCAGGGCGACACAATCGGTGGGACCGTGGGCCGCGGAGATGTCGCGGAAGTGGTGGTGGAGGCGGCACTGAGCCCAGCAACCGAAAACACGATATTCGAAATATACGGTGAGAGGAGAGAGGGAGAGGAAAGGAAGAGGGAGGGAGGGAGGGCAAGAGAGAGAGAGAGAGAGAGAGAGAGAGAGAGAGAGAGAGAGAGAGAAACACACACACACACACAGAGGCCGCCTGCTTTTCTCGATTGGTTTGATCTGACCTGATAGAAAGCATATCAGAAGCTTTGCAAGCGAGTAGGTGAGCGCACGGGGGTAACGGAAAATGCACTGTGCATTTCTTCTGGCTGATTGCGCGGGCTGTTGTGCACTCCCGATTTCCCCCGGAAAAGGTGTCGCGAAGTCTTCATTCGGCGCCGAAAACATGACCTGACCACGTTTCAGACCTCGGCAGTGAGGTGGCGGAAAGCGTTTGACTATGGTTTGTTTTGATTGGGGGCCGACAGGACGAGTGTCAATGGCAGAGCCAGCGTGCTTGAGGGTGGCTTGGATGGCGCCCATCCGACGACATGTAGGGAGACTTCGCAGCACCAACAGCACCACCCGAATACATGACGCTGCAACCCCGCGTGCTCTTGTACCCCCCCCCCCCTTTCCCCTGGAGACAAGAATACCCCCATTTGTGCGACAAAAGCAATTTGAGGTAGTCGAACGACTCGAGGCAAGGCACCCAGCAAGAACTGCCCTCCCCCCCCCCTCCCCGTACAGGGAGATGTTTGAGGCATGGAATAGAGAGGAGAGGACGGTAGCTGTACTGGGGAGTAGGAAGTGGTTTGAAAAGGCGGGAAGGGATATCGTTAGGATAGACAGACTAGGGAAGACATTTTTGAGCCACCTTTGGCAAAGTAGGAAGGAAGGACTGGCCATCGGTGATCGGTCCTGTGGGAACAATGCTCCGTCCTCTCGAGGACGCGGGGTCAATGGTCTAAC